TTTTTTTTCTCTTTCAAGCCTTTTTCTGATGGGAGAGTAGAAAGCAAGGGCAGGCACCTGATCAGGATGTAAACTGCCTTGGTGAGAAAGAAGAAAGGTGTCCTCTAGCCCACACCACACAGAGCCTATGACCTAGGCTCTGATCTCAGTCTCCAGGAATCCACATAAAAAAATAAAATAAATAAAATAAAATAAAATGAAGTATTTAAAATCAGTTTAAGACAGAAAAATTAATTGAGAGTCTATACCATGTTGCATGTGTTTTCTCAGTGAAGTAGTAGTTTAGGTTATAGGCTATGAAGTAATAGCTTGAAATTTAATGATGGAATAAAATGTTTAAAGATAACAGCAAATGTTTGCAATAATTATTATGAGAAAATTTTAAGTTATRAGAAAATTATTTGTTGTTCTTCTTGACATATTTTAAGTGTTGTGAGTGCACTAACCAATGTTRTTTCCTCATCCTAGGTAATCTTCTGGATTATTTGATGGAAAATAAAGAGTGTAAYAGTTTATGCATTATTGCATTTTCCGTGGAAGTGAAGACAGATGAAACAGTATTTACTGTTTTTTTCAACAATGAAGCATACCATTCACCATCCCTGTCCCTGGCAGTRTTAGACAACATTCTTTTCATGTCACTCTCTGGTGCTAATGCTTCCTTAACAGTCTTCAATAAACCTCAGCCACGCCTTGACAATAAAGTCATTGAAGGGTATGTTTTTATTTTCATTGGAATTGACTCTTAAACTTTAAAATACATTTACATGATAAAAATAGTTGTTGATAGAAATCTGTATTTCCTGCTTTGTTGATTTTCTGCTACACTTTTATTCCTTCTGTAGGACTATAAATGGACAAGAGGTGTTTTTGGATATGCAGCTGGGCATAGCTCTTTTAATCAGTAGCTTTTCCCTCCTGACAGTGACTGAAAGAATCAGTAAGGCCAAGCACATCCAGTTTGTGAGTGGGGTCTCTGTCATTGTGTACTGGTTTTCTGCTCTGGTGTATGATTTCATCATCTTCTTATTTTCCTGTTTTTTATTATTGGTGAGTAGGGTTTATTTTCCTTCCATACCACACGGAACATTCCTATCCTAATGGTTTCATAAATCTAGATCTTCCAATAAACTATCTGTGTTCAATATCTTATAAAACATTGCAAAATTTCATGGTAGATGTCATTAGAAAGAAAATAACTCGTGTATCCTTCATTAGCAGAAAATAATTTTTCTTTTCAGTAGCACAAAGACCAAAAAACCAAAGGCTGAATRTACTTGCTGATTTGTGGATGCTAACCCAAAACAAGGGAGATTGGGGAAGGCAATAATAGAAATTCATTGGATTAGACAAAGGGAAATAAAAGGAAGGGAGAGTGAAGGGAAGTGGGGAAAGACAGTAGAATTAATTGGATATCACTTTCCTAGCCTTGTATTTGAATATATGACCAGAGTAACTCTGCATCATGTACAACTACAGGAGTGGGATCCCAAATAGAATAAGCTATATATTCTATGTACATATAATATGTATGTGTAATTTGCCAAAATAAATTCTACTGTCATATATAACTAAAAAGAAGAAAAAAAGGAASATTGACTAAATAAGTACTACCATGCTAAATAAAGGCAAGCTTTGCTCTTTCCTTCTTTGAATATTTTGACCTGATTTCCTTTTTTACTTGCTCTTTACCTTTGCCTTTGTCCCCTCTGTATTTCAGGGAGTGTTCAAATACTGCAAAGTTGATATTTATGTCATGGATTACCACTTACTGGAAACAATGCTCATACTCACACTGTATGGCTGGTCTGCCATTCCCCTCATGTACCTGATGAGCTTCCTGTTTTCTAGAAGTTCTTCTGCCTATATCAAACTTATTCTGTTCAACTTTGTCTCGGGCACTTTTACTGTCTTCATAGATGGAATATTAAGAGACGGTAAGAAAGGACTTCACAAATTTTCCCCTTTCCCAGAACAYAGCAGTCAATAAATGAGCAATTGATTTACAGATACATAAGAACGTTAGTAGACAATTAAGTTCTAGGTTTTTTGAAAAATCCTGCACTTAATGTAGTAAAAGTCAGTAACTTTATTAGGAGTGCCTATGATATTTCAAGCATTGTGCCTCATTTAGTATCCTCATATTGAAGTAATGGTTTTGAAACTGAGCTTCAGGTCCTTGTATATGATGCCTCCTTTCTATCCCCAACTCAGTAGCTCTAGCACATGACTTAAATAATCTGTTTGGGGAGATTTTAGGTGTATTAGTCTCTGAAACTAATTTTCAAGAAAGAAAGAAAGAGAGAAAGAGAGAAAAAGAAAGAAAGAAAGAAAGAAAGAAAGAAAGAAAGAAAGAAAGAAAGAAAGAGAGAGAAAGAGAGAAAAAGAAAGAAAGAAAGAAAGAAAG